CGCGGGGCGCTAGGAAGGAGGGCGCGGGCTGGCGTCGCGCCGGGAGCACCTGAGGTCCTGACACATGGGCTGCGGCTCCCGGCGGCGCGGGGAGAGACAGCTCCCCGGCCGCATTGAAAAAGCAAAAAAATGAAAATTTTAAAAAGGCGAGAAAATGATAGGGTGATGGTAACACAGCCCTTTGTTTTCCCCCCGGCGTGCCGGGAAACAATAGAGCCCCCGATCGCGCCTCCGAGCCCCAGCCCCGCGCGCCCCGCCGCCCCCCGCATGGCCATCGAGGCGCTGCAGACGCCGCCCGCGCCGCCCCGCGAGTCCGAGGTGGCGCTGTATCAGGGCTACCACAGCTACGCCGTGCGCACCAGCCCGCCCCAGCCGCCGCCCTTCGAGGACGAGCCCGAGTGCGAGGCCGAGGTCTCCGGCTCCGACTCCGCGCCCCCGTCCCCGGCCACAGCCTCGGCGCAGGACCCAAAGTCCCGAAACCCCGAGCCCGAGCCCCAGAACCCCGCCAAGCTGGAGCCCAAACCTATCGTCGCCAAAGCCGAGCCCAAGGCGAAGGCCCGCAAGACGGAGGCCCGAGGGCTAACCAAGGCGGGGGCCAAGAAGAAGGCTCGCAAGGAGGCAGCGCTGGCGGAGGCCGAGGTGGAGGTGGAGGAGGTGAGATTGTAGGCGCAAGGAGGTGCCTAGGTCCGGGGCCTGAGACAGGACTCTGCGCGGAAACCTTGCGGGGAGGGGGAGGGGAGTGGGAGCAGGACAGGATGGGGCTGTGGCGTAGTCCGGTGCGGCCTCGGCCTGATCCCAGAGCACGTGGAAGCCCAAATGACACGGGAGAGCCCTCCCACCTGGAGGCAGATACCTTAGCAGCCAGGACCCCATCTGCAGAGCTCAAAAGCAGGGGCAGCAGAGGATGGCTGCACCTGCTCCCCCTGGGGGATGTGGGCTGGGCGCCAGCAGCATCTGCTGGGGTGTAGCAAGGAGGACTTCCTGGGGGTGGAGGAAGGGCCCCGTGAGGTTTCTGGACCTTTCTGCCCATGGGAGGCAGGAGCCAGGGACTGCAGCAGCAAACGCTGAGTGAGGCCCTGAGGAGCTAAGCAGGGCCCCTGGGGAGGGGTCAGCGATCAGGAAGCGGGTGACCTGCATTCCAGGCCCACTCTGTGGTGTCTGGGTCCTGAGAGCTGGGGTTAATGGTTTCCAAGAATCCTTCCAGCCCGCCGGGTCTGTGTCCAGGGTGCTGCAGAGCAAACCAGGGGACGCTCTTAGATCCTTCCAGAAGCTCCTGCCCGCTTCTCCAGCCTTGTGGCCTGGGTTGGGGTGTCCAGTGGGCCCGGGACTCAGACAGCCTCTTTCTCCTGTTCCAGGTCCCCAACACTGTCCTCATCTGCATGGTGATCCTGCTGAACATCGGCCTGGCCATCCTCTTCGTTCACCTCCTGACCTGACCCTTGTCTACCAGGTGTGGCACACGAGGGGATAGAGGGTAGGGGCTCATAGGGAATCAGGGGCCTGGGGGCAGGAGGAGAGGCTTACTCTGTCCCGGGTATCTGTCCATGGTTATTTAAAGCCCATTCCTAGCAGAAGCAGGGACCCAGAGTTTGGGTGTCAGATCACATCCTCCCGACATGCAGGTGCTCAACATCTGCCGAACATCTGCTGTCAGGTGCACACCAGGGTTCCACTCACTCACTCATTCATTCTCTGGCTGTGCTGGGACTCACTCCTGCCTCAGGCAGTGAGAACAGACCCTTAAGACACGAGCAGCCCATGGTGGGCAAGTCCTGCAGTTCACACATCAATCTAAACAGTTCTTGCTGCTGGGCGTGGTGGCACATACCTGTAACTCCAGCACTCAGAAGGCTGAGGCAGGAGGACTGCCATGAGTTTGAGGCCAGCCTGGGCTACACAGTGAATTCAAGGCAGCCTGGATTACACAGCAAGACCCTGTCTCAAAAAAACCAAAAAATAAATTAATGAATTAAAAAAATAAAGAGTTCTTGCTGCCCTTCCCTCAGGTCCCCCAATTAGACTTAGTGCATCTGGGCTGGTGAGACCCTCCTGTCTCTGCCTTCCCTCTCTCTCTTGCCCCACCTCACACTTTAGAGAGGGAGAAATCCCTGTGTTGTCACCGTATAATTAGACGATGACGTATTGGCCTTGTAGGGGCTCAGCTCTGAGGGTTCCCTCAGAGGGAACTCAGACAGCCTCTTTCTCCTGTTCCAGGTCCCCAACACTGCCAGCCATGGCCGGCAGGGTTCTGTCATAGGGAACCTGGGAACTCTTTCTGTAGGCAGTGATGACTTTGAGGCCCCGAAAATAAAAAGGAATGAGCCAGGTAGTAGTGGGGGAGCAGGAGGGAAGAGAAGAGTGGCCCAGCGAGGGGAAAGCGTTCTCCAATAAGCAGACGCAGGCAGGTACCAGCCTGCCGCAAGAGGCCCAGGGACGCATCTCTGATCTGCGGTGCAGAGAAGACCCAGCCTGAGGCCTGTGCCCTGCTTGGCAGCTGTGCCTCAGAGCGGCCTTCTTCCCTTCCTCACTTGTCCCTGTTCTGTCTCTGCAGAGCCAGGAGTTCCGCTGAGGAAGCCAGGACTCATCTTTTGGCAATGCCAGGCAGGTGACCAAGGAGGACTGGACTCGACCTGCAGCCTCAGGCCCGGCTCACAGCGTGCCACAGACGTTTCAGGAACCTCCCGTGGGCTCAAGCAGGGTGTCAGGGTGCCAAAGGAATAGAGTATCTGGGAAGGCTCCAGGAGTACTCTGCCCAGGGACCGGGGAGGCCCCGAGGGAAGAGCCCTGGTCTCCTGAGTTTCTTGATCTGCTGTCCCCGACCCTCTTCCACTCCCTCGCCTTGCCCCTCCTCACTCCCTCCCTGGGCTTTTGTGTGTTTTAGGCGATGTCACCTAAGCAGGATGTTGGTATTAAATCCCTCCCTCTCCCTCCCACCTCACTCCCACTTTAATCCTCCACCTGGTGGACCGAAGCCACCCAGGAAGCTGAGGGGTTGCTGAAACGTCTCAGACAATGCAGTCTTACGCAGCTCGGACCATCTCAGGCTTACGGATGCTCTGGATGACATGGAGGAGATGACAAACTCAGTTGAATATCCCAGCATGCAATGCTCTGCCTCCCCCGCCGGTCCAGTTAGCTTCCCTCCTGGCCCAGTAGCACAGGGAGGCATACCTGTAACAAGTTGGAGCCTTTCACTAGGAAGCCACTGAGCAGACAGAGGTGGGGTGGGAAGAGGGTAAGGTGCAGTTGCGAGGCCCCTGTTTTGAGTGTATCTGAGCCTGCGGCTGGGGGTGAACTTAAGGCTGTTTGCTTGGGGTTACTCTGCAGCGGCCCTGGGGCCAGCGAGCTACAGCAACTGTGATGCCCTGTGAACTGGTTTGTCTCCTCCCCAAGCAGGGCCACTGAGGGCTCAGGGGAGCATGGCACAGGAGTCCTGGCAGTGGGGCAGACTCTCCAGCAGGTGCTGAAGAAAAAGATTTCCCAGGAACAGAGGAGCAGTTCTGAGCTCCAGCTGGGGGCAGTCTGCGCAGTAATAAGCCCCGTTCAGTTCGTCTGGCAGAAGATGATACTTGCATGTACCTGAAAGATGTTCGTACCACACTGAGCCTCTGGCCCTTGGGCTCCCTAGGAGTGGTGTAAGGGCTGAGGGCTTGAAGCTCCTGCACCCAGGAGCGTGGCGGAAAAGGGCTTCCAGGCCCCTCCAGGCCTGGGGAAGGATGTGGCGGTGGCATCCCAGCAGAGGCGGAGGGAGTGGCTGCTCTTCCACCTTCGTTTCTATGGGCCTCAGGGGCTTAGGCGTCGGGGCCGGGCCCTCCCGGGGCAACTCGGGACCTGCGTGTTTAGGGTCAGCCCTTTCGTCCCTCGGTCCTTGGGAACCTTGCCCTCCAGCTTCACGCTTGCTGTTTCTAGCCCTGCTGGGCCTCGTGGCTTGGCTGGACCCCCAGACTGCCTTTCTGCGGCAAAGAGTCTGTGGACGCTCCCATCCCAGCCAGCCGTGGCCCACAGGGTTCTGCACCTGTGTTTGGCTTTTCTGGACTCCTAGGGAACGAGGGGGGCAGGTGGGAGCTGCATGGGGCTGACAGGCTCCAGGCCTCAGCTCTGACTGACGTCATTGCTCTTGTTTCTTGGGCCTGGTCCAGTGTTGGGGACCAGCCTGTGGCTGCCAGAGCTGTGGGACTCATCTGGGGCTAGTGTCGGGGTGCGGGTTGAGATGCTGAGTCTGCGCGATAATAAACCTGTGTCTGCTCACGGGCTCAGGCTGGGCTGCCGTGTCTGCTTGTGGGCCCAGAGGAGGGGCTGCTGAAGACGGGCCGCAGAGGCTGGGGGTGCTGGGCCTTGCCTGTCCGTGTCCTTGCTTCTCAGGAAGTTCCCATAATGCTTCTTGAGGGACAGCTGAGGGGCTCCAGGCCTCGGGACTCCCATGGTGGAGTCTGTTTCTGAAGCTGACTTCCAGAAGCTCCTTTAAGCAGCTTTTGGTAGAAGTGAGAGTCTGCCCTTTGATGTGACAGCACCCTGGACTTCGGTCTTCACTCAGACACCATCACTTCTTGGAGCCTCAGTTTCCTCATCTGTAAAATGGGGATGATAACACTGCTCATTCACTGGGATGGTAGTGAGGGTTAAACACTAAAGCTTATGTAAAGCCCAGCTGTAGAAAGCTGAGAAGTTGTCATTAGTCTGTCACACACCATGTTGCATTTTGACGGAGGATCCACAACCCCCAAAGGAGTAGGCGTGATTCAGGCACCAGCTACTGTCACAGAATGCCTCAGAAGAGACCCAGATGCCGTCCCCACACTCTACGAGCCTCTGGGGAAAGGGCCCTGCCCACAGCACACGCCTCAGTTCAGTGGAGGGTCAAAGTTCTCTGGCTTGTGTGGGAACAAACACTGCCCATGACGGCACTCACAGCTGGTGGCCACAGCAGCAGGTGGAGGGCCAGTGCCTGCCACCCTCCAGTAGTTCAGTGGTGGTCACTAGAAGCTAGGGTTCTTGCTAAAACACCACCACTGACTCACCGTGTCCCACCTTTCTGTGCTTCCATTTCCTCTTCTGCCAAGGAGACCAAAATCCTTGCCCCGCGGCACACTTCCCAGGCAGTGCAGTTATGACAATCCAGTGAGGTAGGTTCTGGGCGGTGAAGATGTTTTCCCAAATTCTGGGATGAGCCCTGGATCCCCAGGAAGGAGGATGGGCTTGGGGAACCCTGGAGGGGCGAAGGGAATTGCACTGCCCTGCAGAGGCTCTGACAGAGTCCACTGAGAGGAATCAGGTGGGCATTGCCTGGTCTGTAGTCTGGCTAGACTGGGTTTCAGCCTGGGAGGGCAGAGTTGGTATCACCGGAAGTCCTGAGATCACTTTTGGAGCCAAGATTGGAGAGTCCCAGTCAGGTAAGGTTAGTGGGAGTTGGGTGCCCCCTCGTGGTTCAGCACACAGCTTGGCTGTTGCCTCTTCTAAGGGATTAAGGCAGCTCTGATGGGACCCTTGAACTCAAGTGTGGCCTGGGGTGGCTCTCTGTTACCTGTGTGACATCATGTCCCCATCCTCCCAACTCCTACATGTGCTTTTTCCTTGATGCCATCCCCCATCAGGTCCTTTATGAGGCCACATGATCTTTGACTTTCAGCCTTCAGTGCTGCAGGCTCAGTAGACTCCCTTTATGAAGTTAACCTGCCTCAAGTATTTCATTATAGTACCAAGCAAGCCATCCTTACTACAGGCAGAGGACCCAGTTAGAACCAGCCGAAAGACGTGGTCCATAGGGTGGGATCTGGGAGAGTTCAATGTATGGTCAAAACCATCCCCACACACCTATGCATGTCCTATGATTCTCTAGGGAAGGCCCTGCTGTTTGAGGGGTTCGCCTTGTCCCAGAAGGTGCTCCTTGGTGATGATTACAGTTGAGCCATGTGGTTGCACATTCATAGTATGCATGAGAGCTTTTCAAGCCTGGAAACTTTTGGACATCATTTGATTTTTCTGGAGAGGAACCTGCCTATTGTTGGTTGTGGTTTCTGCATGAGGATAGTGTTTTCTGACCAAGTGATAAGGAACAAAGTCAAGTTTGCAAATACCAGGTAGTGATTGGGAGCTATCGACTATCCAAGTATATCAAGGATGCAGCATCACAAGTTAGCTGAACTTCGTGACTTAACGCAGTGGCTCTTCATGGAGCTCACAATTTTGTGTGACGGTAGTTTGGGTTAGACACAGCTGGGCAGTTAGGAATTTAGGTCAAGCTGGCTTAGGTTCACAGGAGCCCACTCAAGTCTGAAGTCAGCTGCTGGAGGGGCAGGTGCTACCTGATATCAGCTGGAACACCTTCCCCTTCTCTGCAGGGTCTGCCAAGACCCACAGGTCGGTTGGGCTCACTCCCATGGCAATAGGGTCCCAAAGGCAGGGAGAGAGCAAGCGCTAATGGTAAGTACTTTTTAATCTGGTTGCACCATGTTTGCTACTGTTCTCCTGGCCAGAACAAGTCGTGCGGCCAAGCAGGGAATCATTGCCAGAAGTATGAACAAAATTAGAGCCATTTCCACAAGCTGTGTAAAATACCAAGCAACAGCTGACAGCAGGTTTTCTCCATTACTATAATAAAAATACTTGAGGCCAAGTACTTCATAAAGAAAAAAGGTGTAGCTTCGAGATTTGGGGTCTGAAACTCTCAGATCCGGGAGTCCCATCCATTCAGCCTATGGTGAAGGAATCAGAAAATGCTGAAGAGATCACATGGTGAAACGAAGTCAGAGGGACTCAGGGGTCAGGTCTACTCTCAGTGTCAACCCAGATCTAACTTGGGTCTCATAAGAAATATATGTCTTCCAAGAGTGATGTCCCCAACTACATAATCACTTTCCACTAGACCTCACCTTTTAAAGTTTCCATCACCTCAACTCTGCCACACTGGGGCCAAACCTCCAGCACACAGACCTTGGGAGATGACACTGCACTAAACCATAGATCCAAGCCATAGTACTTCCTGCTGTAGATCCCGAATTAAATGAAGTTATCCTTGTACATAAGGAGAAGGGTCCAGAATATGATAGATACTCATCATTAGCTGTCATGATTATCAGTGTTATTTTTATTGACATCACCCTTCCTACCAGAGGTTTGGACACAAAGTTGGTGAAGACCAGCAGAAAAAATTGATAGATGTAGTTTAAATTATATATCTCAGAAACTTGTGAGTAGAGAATATTTTCAGGATGAGAAATTTATATAAAATGGTAGACATGCAAAGCAGTAGCACATGCTGACTTTGCATATGTACATTTGTGATAAATTATTTTTTAACAGGAAATGGAAATGATAAATACACTCAGGTCACTGGCCACCTGAAGAGAAGGATGGGGCCTGTGTAGAAGGGCACACGGGAACTTCCATTCTCACTGTGCGCTAGGCAGAGATCTGACCAAGGTGTGGCTGAGATTAGTAGAGATTGCTCAGTCAATAGTCAAATTCTTTCTTTTGCTGTTCATTTGCCTTAGATATTTAGAAAAAATAGAAATTGTTTGACCCACAGATTTTTTAAATATGTAGAATGAGCATCTCTTAATCCAAGCATCCGAAATTACCTCAAACTTTTTGAGCACTGATGCTACAGCTGAGTGGGCCCAAAATAGTCCAGGTTCTTGTGTATGACAAGGAAAGGATTGTCAAGCGCACACCTTGAAGTATGTGGTAAGTAGCTACATTTATTGAAGACCACGGGATGATAGCAAGAACAGGGAGAAAAGTGAAGGGAAACGAGGGTGAAGGTGCAACAGCAAGCAGAAACGCTGAAATGACACCCAGGACTTGAAGGCAGATTTATTTAACGTGAGACAGGCACTGACTAGGAATCAATTGTTCCTCAAAATGGCAGGCCCTGATTGCTTGTGGTCTTGGGGTTATGTGGGATAAGCAAGTAGGAAGTACAGAGGCAGAATGGCTTGTCAACTGGAGTTCTTATAATATGTATTGTAGTGCATTGACCAGCTGTTTCTAAAAAACAAAAGTAACAGGCACTGTAACAGGAACTATTACCTGGGCAACTAACAAACTGAAGTATACTCAGCGGGGGTGGGCATCTTCTGCTACAATGGGAAAAAGGGACTCAGTAACTCAGGCTTCTGGTCTGAGGAAGGGTCTGAGGAAGGGTCTGAGGAAGGCTTCCAGTCTTTATAGTGTCAGACACCACTGATCCAAGGGGTCTTCCACTGTCTCTCTGATGCCAACACTCTGGGCACCCTCCTAAGCTTAAGCCTGGATACTCACTAGGGTGGTGTTTGGTTTATTGTGAATGGAGAGAAGAGAAGTGCTCACACAACTTCCTGTTTTAGGGTTAGGGAAGCATGGATAATCCTCAGGGTGGTGTGGCGCTGACAGTTGAACAAAGGGAAAGGAGTGACTCATTTATTTCTAAGAGTAGGAGCACACGATGTCACAAGTAGAAAATTCCACATCATGAAACTCTGTTTCATGCACAAAATTATTAAAAGTAGTATGCAGAATTACCTTTCAGTCATGTAAGAAACATGAGTGAGTTTTGCGGTTGGACTTGGGTTTCAGGGAAGATCTCCATCTAGCTGAGCTGAGTTCTAGCAGAGAATAGTCAGAGAGGGCCCATGACCTTGGGTGCAAACACACTTAGGTCCTCTGTTTTAGCTCATTTGTACAGCCACAAGTTGAACATCCTTAAGGAGAAAACATGAAATCCAAAAATGCTCCAAAATCTAAAACTTTTTTTCTCCCTGATACACATCCTTCTATATATGCAAATATTCCAAAATCCAACACACTTCTGATCTTGGCAAAGGGATTTAAGTTGAACATGAAATTAATTTATATTTTATATACACCTTCTCTGGAGGTAATTTTATGCAGTTTGTGTATGTGTGCACGCTCCTGCGCTTCTGCGTTTTGACTGCGACATGAAGTCAAGTGTGGAATTTTCCACTTGAGGGCAACATGTTGGCACTCAAAAAGTTGTAGATTTTGGAGCATTTTTGGATTTCATGTTTTCTCTTTAAGGATGTTCAACTTATAGCTGTACAAATCAGCTAAAACAGAAGACCTAAGTATGTTTGCACCCAAGGTCAGGGGCCCTCTCTGACTATTCTCTGCTAGAACTCAGCTCAGCTCGATGGAGATCTTCCCTGACACCTTAACCAGGTATCAGGCACTGTGCTGGGAGCTTCACCCGATGACCTCATCCCCCCCTTCCACTGTCTCAGTCTGTTTTCTGTTGCTGTACCTGAGTATCACAGTCTGGGAATTT